TCTCAACCCTCAGTCCCAAGGGGAGATACACTTTAACTTAAAATACATGTACACCAATTGATTTCAATGTCTCAAAAGATGCTTCAAAGCAAAACTGGTTGAGATTTGCATATATGGTTATAATGATTAGCCAATATATCGGACCAGGGCTATGGGTCAAGACACAAAATCTAAACCTGGCAGTAAATGATTGTGTTTGTTTCTTCATGATAAGCAATTGTTATGGCTATACTCTAAGTAGGGATCTAAAGAGTTACCCTGATATGACCCAGGAACATAGTTCCCTGGGGCTAAGCTTAAGTTTGTTCATCCATTTATAGGGTTGCAATCTGAAACATTCATGATAGGTCCCAAGGACTATTTTAATTCCCAGAGACAGGGCCAAACCCATGAGTCAATCCATGTAGCATGAATGTATTTGTCTCTTCATGCCAACTATGTACGGTGTATATAATGGGGATCTGATATATTCATGAAGATAACTGTACATGAAAGTTTCCTCTGTTGGGACTTCACCCCTCTGGTCCCTAGGGGCCAGAATCTTCTTTTAACATTGAGTCCCCCTGGCTCATTGAGGAGGATTAAAATCCCTTTGGTAATGAAAAAGTAGAATCTAGAAGACTTCTTTCCATGTCCCCTTTCAGGTTTCATTTCTTTGCTTTGCGGAAGGAAGGTCAAATCCTATGTTTACACATTATCGGTCCTCTCGGCCCAAGGATGCTCCAGACCAAATTTGGTTCAAATTACTTTACATGAAGGAGTAGGGAATTTCATAATTTACCTTCATGTAGGCCACTCTCTGTTTATGCAATGTTGAGTCCACTTAGCTCGCCAATGATCCAGCCCAAATTTAGTCAAAATCTACACGGTCATTCTGAGCTAGTTGTGTTTCAAATTCAAAGTTGATAACAGATAGATGGACAACAGACACTGCACCATGGCACAAGCTCTCTTGTCCTTTTTTTATAAGTGATACACCAACTGTAATCCAAAACATAAAACAAGAGGCCAAATGGGCCTGCATCGCTCACCAGGTATAAATCTCACACCTGTAACCTTAAAAGTGATCTAAAATAAAGCTACAGGCAAATTAAGTCATTATGTTGAACAAATTTTATAGCCTTTCATCTCAGGATGCAACTTGAAAAGTATCAACATCCTGGGACCCATGGTTATTCAGAAGAGGTCGTTTAAAGATTTTAAACAAATTTGACCCCTGTGACCTTGAATATAAGTCAAAGTCATTCACTTTAACAAACATAGTAGTCCTTGATCCAAGCATGCTACTGACTAAATATCAACATCCTGAGCCTTTTGGTTATTCAGAACAAGTTCTTTGAATATTTTGAACATATTTGCTCCTTGTGACCTTGAATATGATTCAAGGTCATACATTTAAACAAACTTGGTAGCCCTTGATCCTAGTATGCTACTGACTAAATATCATCACCCTGGGCATTTTGGTTATTCAGAAGAAGTTGTTTAAAGTTTTTAACATATTTGACCCCTGTGACCTTGAATATGGGTGAAGGTCATTCATTTGAACAAACTTTGTAGCCCTTCATCTCAGCATGCTACTGGCCAAATATCATCACCCTGGGCATTTTGGTTATTCAGAAGAAGTTGTTTAAAGTTTTTAACATATTTGACCCCTGTGACCTTGAATATGGGTGAAGGTCATTCATTTGAACAAACTTTGTAGCCCTTCATCTCAGCATGCTACTGGCCAAATATCATCACCCTGGGCATTTTGGTTATTCAGAAGAAGTTGTTTAAAGTTTTTTTAAGACAATTGACCCCTGTCACCTTGAATATAATTGAAGGTCATTCATTTGAACAAACTTGGTAGCCCTTCACCCAAGCATGCTACTGGCCAAATATCATCTCCCTGGGCAGTTTGGTTATCGAGAAGAAGATGTTTGAAGTTTTTAACATATTTGACCCCAGTGACCTTGAAAATGGGTGAAGGTCATTAATTTTCTGGCCAAATATCATCACCCTAGGCCTTTCGGTTATTAAGAAGAAGCTGTTTAAAGTAAAATATTGACGCTGGACGCGTCACGGCATAAGCTCACTTGGCACTTCGTGCCAGGTGAGCTAATAAAGGGAAGAATCGATACTGATTTCAAATATCTCACAAATATTTATTAAGATTCTTTTACGCAAGGGATATTCATTATTGTTGCTTCATGAATTCCAATCCTCCTGGGATAGTTATTTTTAGGAAATTATCAAAAAAGGTGATTCAGAAAATCATCAGTCTGTGATCTCTATATAGAATTATTGATGTACCAAAAGATGGGGTAGATTGATTGATGTTAGTTTGTTACATTCCATTCAACAAACAAAAAAACAAAAACAACAGAACAAGGAACTCCATCTTTACATTTAGCTTAATGAATTCTCCAAGAAAAATCTTCAACAAAAAAATGTTAAGCTTCATATTTTCAACAGCTTGTGATACAGTTATATGGTTCTACACATTACCGCTTGAGAGTGAGCTTTCCATAATTTGTGGGAGTAATGGAGTCGCCACAGGAAATGTACCTGAGTTACCTTCAAAGGTGTGACGCATACAATACACTCATTTATCAACAGCTGTTGATGAGCAATCAATGCTGGAATTCATTATTGGCAATCGGCGGCATAAATCCAATCCATAATTAATATTACAGATGGTGTTATATGGTTAAAGGGGTTTGTTGCTCTTATGTTCGTACAAGTGTCAGCTGGTGATGGTGAAGCCTTCGAGGCAAATATGAATTTTGAAGCATCCACTTAGGCAAATACAAATTTGTAAATAAATACAATCAAAAAAATGTTCACTGTGCCATACCTTTCCCTTTTTTATAGTTAATATATGTCATATTATTATGAAATGAGCTTTATTCGTGAAACATTACAGAGCAACACTCCAAGCTGACATACAAAGAAAAGAAAATGTGTTATTCCAGCTATTGATGCATATTATATATCCCTCACAGCTGTGTCACCTATTCATTAAAGATTGAATACCTAAATCAATGAATGGAAAGTTACTATGGGATAATTCACTACATATTATGAGCATTTGATCATGTATCTTTCAAGTATTTTTTAATGCAACTGAAATCATTTCAAACATTAAAAAGAATTAATTGATTTTATTCAGATAATTCTTAATTGAATTTTATTTTGAGAATTTTTGTATATAATTCTATCTGACATAACTTTCAGCTACCATGATAACAATATGTTCATCAAAATAATTAATAGTCAGGTCTATAGAGTAATATTTTATTTTCAATTTTTTCTGGCCAGTTTCAGTACCTCAATTAACCTTACCGGGGGTAAATGGTTGTCCATTAGCTGATAAGTAATGAAATGCCAGGAATCAAACATACCATATCTTACTCAAGTCAAATTAAGCTCATGCTTTGATTTATTAAGCCCATCCTTTCATCTTGTATCTAGATTTTATGAATGGATTTTATGAAACAAGGTTTTTGTGCATATGTTTCTCTGCCTAGCATATGAAGTTAAATTGATGAATTTCATCCCCATGCCTGATCCTAGGATTATAACAGGTACCTTTGGCTGTGAGATGACACAGCTGTTAGCTGACACTCATACAGAAATACAACTTTGACAAGTATAGTAAAGACTTTTTATAATTTGATCTTAAATGTTTTCTTAAATAAGGTTTTGATCTTAAATGTTTTCTTAAATATGGTTTTGATCTTAAATGTTTTCTTGAATATGGTAACTATTTTAAGGAACAAAATCAAAAGAATGTAAGAAAATTTTAACAGAAAATTAATAATAATGTTGAAAAGTTATATAAATATGTTAGTTGAAAATTCAAAAGATATGTTATTCACTGGGTGTTTGCTAGATCAACAGATGTAATCCTCCACATGATCAGTCGACATAATAGCAGTGTTTACCATGCTTCAAACAACGGTGTCAATATAAATGCTACATTTACCCTGGTATGACGCAGACTGTACTGTGTCTATAAACACACAGCTGATGCCTCAGTGAGAGCGAGATTAGTGCTGCACACTGTAAGCTGCCTTTACCTGGTGATTTTTTTTGTATTTAAATCATGTTCACACCAGATGTGGCATATATTTCCATATTTTGAAAACCTGTGACAGGAGGCTTGATCTGTTATATTATATCACAGTAACACCCAGTGAATGACGGTGCCCCTTCAATTAAGAGTGATGGCTACAAAATCATACAGCAGAAATTCATATATTGAGGCTGTTAGTAGGTTGACAAACATATCTGAGCATATTCAAACTTGAGTGCAATATAGTGTCATTAAACACACAATCAAATATTAACAGATCAACAGGTCAGGAAACAAATCCATTTTGACTTAAGATATAAAAAAAAGCAATTTACTATGGAAGAGAGCCTGATTTTTTTTAACCTAACTTGAATTTTTTTTGATGGAAAGAAAAGTGCTTGTTACTTCTCATTTCTTAAATATCTTATCAAATCTCAAAGTGCGTGGGCATGACTCCACAGTGAAATACATCACTTCCTGTTGTCTGATCGATCAACAGTACAGAATGCACTGATAACACTCTGATAACACTCTGATAACACTCTGATACACTCTGATAACACTCTGATAACACTCTTATAAACACTCTGATAACACTCTGATAAACACTCTGATAACACTCTGATAACACACACCACTTTATCTTTGAGATCTTGATTCCATGAAATTAAGTGGCAACTAATCATGATTAATGTGGAAACTTCACAGCAGTAATATAATTATTCTACAAAATGTCTATATTTCATCACCCTACTTAATGAAATATGACTTGTACTCATTCATAAAGAACACATGGATATTGTTAAGGTTCAATAATAGATGACGTTTTTTCCTACAAAGGGAACATATAATAAGAAAAAATTGAGGATCAAAACAAAATTAATGAAATGCTTTATAAACAAGTGTGAGTGATGGACAACACAAATGTGTTATATATACTTACTTTCCAAGGAGAGAAGGACTAGGTTCATGGATGATTAGGCTGAGCACATGAAGTTAGTGGTTAGCAAACATATAAGGATGGCATGGCTGATATGCATAGGCATGAATTTCAGTTGTAGTTCAAACAAGTCTTTCTTTTTTCTCTTTGAAGAAATACTTTTGTTATGAATTCTCAGCTCATTAAAATGGTCTTTTTATCAAACTGTTTTTTTCATAAATAGCATTTACATATAAATCTTCAAAAATGAACTCCATAATTCAAGAAAAAGTTTGTTAACTCATTCACCCCTGAAATCTTATAATGAATTACTCCAGCCTTTGAATTGGAAGAGTTCAAATGTGTCTTCAGGGGAGAATAGGTTAATCCCAAAATAATCGTTTTAATATGGCACTTTCTTGAAATCATTGAAATGGATGTGCTTAGACTAATAAGGTTTAATTTACTGTTAGTTAATATATAGCACATACTTACCTGGTACACTAATTTTTATTTTTTGAATATTTCTAAGCAAACTTTTCAGGAAATTTTAATTAAGTAAGTTAACAGAAATGATCTCTGAAGAGAAAAGGTTTTAAGTGTTTGAACTTTGTACTGAAAGCAAGGTTAATTGAAATAACAAGCAGCAAATAAAATGTCAAGAAGTTACCTCCTTAAGCTGTGATAAGGAGACATAAGTCGACTACTCCTGAGAAAAAAAGGCCAATTTTGATCAGAACTAAACAAAATTATGTTTGCCTGTAAAACAAAATAAAGACAATTACCAGGGTAATACCAGGATAAACTGAATCATCTTCACCAGACCTGACAAAAAAGTTCATTGATAAATGGTAACAAGCAACCATCTATGCCACCAGTTGTACAATTATATATTTTTTGTCATGGTCAAACATTTTTTATGCATTAAAAAGCATTGTTAAAATCTCATTTAAATGGTGAAACTTCAAGAAGACTCGTAGACAAACAGACGCCCCATGATGTGGGATAACCATAGTTTTCCTTTTTTGCCAGGTTAAGATCAAATCAAATAAATATTCAAAATACAAATGAAGTAGGTAATCTGTAAAACTGCATTAAAAATCACATAACCTGTAAAACTACTAAAAAAATGAAATTGTGGCATTTGTTGTTTCATGCTAGCACTCGCTCCACTAAATCCCATAGGAAGACCAACAAAGAAAATGATACAATGAAGGGAGATCTTTATCATATATGCATGCCAAAATGCAATACAGTGTTAATGCTTCACCAGGGGAGCCACATTTCTGACGGATCACATGCTCGGTCTGCCACACCAATTACCACTACCCAAACCCTGTCTTACGATAGCTTCATGACAAACGATAATGTAATAGGCATAAGCAAGGCCAAAACAACTGGATGCGTGATTCTAGATAATTTTGTACAACTTTTGCTAAGCACAGATGACAAAAGAGGATATATGTATATATATATCTTTGTAGTTGATTAATGAGTTTTTTGTTCCAGAAAATTGTTCCTCACAATGCGTGTCTTTCCCAAAAAGCAATATGACATCCCTGATATATTGAAAACTTATACACATCAGGTAGTTTTGGCCATGGGTGAACTGTATAGTACATTTTGTGTATTATATGCTGTACCCAAATTAATCTGATTTTTTAAAAAGGATTTTTTTTTTCAAAGTAAATTAATGCACAATTTAAGTGTAAGAAATACCACATGTGTTCATTTTAGTCTGGCAAGGGACTTCCATCCTTAAAAATGAACTCTGCTCCCTACAGCAATTTCAAAGAGCCTATTCCTATAAGCCCTTCGAATCCCCTTCTTCATCCCTGCTTAAACATGAGGTTTAACATATCATTTCATTATGGTCCAATCAGAGTTGCAGACCGCCATTTCAAGGATGATGAAAAATGGCCATGACAACACCGGTTTTTACCGAAGCTTCCAGAAAAGCAAATCTGGATTGCCAATTGTATAAATCCCTTATTTAATGACCAAATTGAATTTATGTTTTGAAAGAGTTGTATCTGAAGCCTACATCTCTATCATATATCCTTATACAACCACTTGAGACATAGAAACACTTACCGATGTCTCCAATTCCGTCGTCCACTATTCCGCTTATTTCGATAGGACTTTTCCTTCATACTTTCTTGGTAGCGTTTCATCTTGACCCATTTCCTGCCCGCTATGTCATAGGTACACCAGAGGGATACAAATACGGTCAGCATGATCACCCAGTTACACACTATCAGCCCTGTAATATATATAACAATATCATCAACCCTGCAATATGTAAAATGAAACCAATTGCCTTGCAACATGCACAATATCAATACCATCAGCCTTACAATGTGCACAGCAATTTCATAAGCCCTGAAACATGCATAACAATTTTATACATATACCATCAGACTTGGAACATGCACAACAATTATATATACCATCACAGCATTTTTGAAAGACATAACATTTGGGGGTAAATTCAAGCATAAATCACAAATTCTGACCCCTTTATATAGCAAGCCTCTAACATTTTGAGGGTCAAAAGCCATTTTAGGGGTCATATACCCTATTGAGGTAAACTGAAACCCTACCATCAAACCTGAAACATGCATAACAAATTATAACATACCATTAGACTTAAAACATGCACAACAGTGTCACCAAAAGCCCTGAAACAGGTGTAACAATACTATAAGCCCTGACATAAGCATGTACAACAAGGTCAAAAGTACTAAAACAATCGTATGACAATACCATCAGCCCAGATAAATAAGATATTTTTTTATTTAGAGTCGGTGGGTATATAACTGAAACATGCACAGCTTTGTCATAAGCCCTAAAGCATTTATACAACAATGCTAAAAATCTTGAAACAACTGTATGACAACACAGCATGTACAACAATGTTAGAAGCCCTGATACATGTACAACAATGTCATAAGCCAAGAAACATGTGTAGCATATATCCACTAAAACCTACACTAACATGTGGTATAGCAAAACCATCAGCACTGCATGAAACAGCGTAAAACAGCTAAGAGCAAAAGAGTTTCAAAAGCCTTAGTTGTACAGTTAAGTTTATTCTGTGTGCCTGCCTGGTTTGTTTAAACAGAAAGATAGCATAACATGTATTTCAATATAACAACATTCTGATTCATGACGGTACTGGTACAAAAAACAAACAGTTTGTAGTTTATATGCTGTCACTTGCTATCTGACAGTTTTGGTACATGCAGAATAAAACAGCACAGAGTCATACCTGCAGTCCTTTTGTGCTATTTTGTACCAGATAAAAACAATAATACCACAACAGTACATGATTCTCCCACAAACATTATTGTGGAGGTCAGAATGATAGTATGGTGTAAACATGGATATCTACTAAATCTTATGCAACAAGAGGCCCAGAGGGCCTGTATCGCTCACCTGGATATTTAAGCAGTCATAGCAAAATATTAAATAAATATTTAACTGTACTACAAATATTTCCAAATATTGACTCTGTCTCTCAGCAACACCCTAACCTTATTGGGTCCCATTCTCCTGTCCCCATTGGGATGGGGGCATGGTTTCTACAACATTGAATCATGTTTGGCCAAGGATACTCTATATCAAATTAGATAAAGATAAAGCTATAGGATGAAGTAGGTAAAGGTCATTTTCATTCGCAAACTTTGTTGGGCTCCATCTAAGGAAGCTACTTGTTAAATATCACTACTCAATGTCTTCCACTTTTTCAAAAGAAGCCGTTTGCAGTTTTTGCTATATTTGACCCCAGTGACCTTGAAAGTAGGTTGAGGTAATTTTCAATAGCCAACTTTGTCGGGCTCCATCTGTGACAGTTGCCAGCCAAATATTATTATTCTATGCCTTAAGATTATTCAGAAGAAGTAATTTGAAGTGTTTGACATATTTGGCCCCAGTCATCTTGAAAGTAGGTTGAGGTCATTTTCATTCGCAAACATTGTCGGGCTCAATCCAAAGAAGCAACCAGTGAAATAATATGATTCTATGCATTTTGATTTTTCAGAAAAAGTCGTTTGATAAGTTTGACATATTTGACCCCCTTGTTCTCAAACTTTGTTGGTCTCTAACCAACAAAGATAGCATCCAAATATCATGACTCTAGGCCTGTCCATTCTTCAGAAGAAGTCATTCACAGGAAAAGTTGACAGACACCAGACGGACGGACGACAGACGTCGCACCATGGCATAAAATCAGAAGCCCTTCGGGCACGTGAGCTAATAATATTGGAAACTGAATTTGCATTTGCACCAGGTATGGTGATAACAAATTTGAAGCAATTAAAGTCAAATTCTCACAAGAGATAGACGACAGGAATACATGTCAAATACTTAGTGTTAGTTTAAAACTTAAGTCGGGATTAAATGGAAAATCCAACCATCAAGTAAAATTTCTGAAGCTTTGACCTTGACCTTGAATGTATTACCTAAACCTCAAGTTTTCTCTAGAGTCCCTTGTTACTGTATTCAAACTAGGACACCGTCCAAGTAATTAGGTGTCAATAAAACTAGTTTGGTGACTTCTGTCTACAACAGGAAAGCCTGACATTTAGAATCCAGTGAGTCTTATGGGAGATTACTGGAATAGCTTAGGTTGTTGATCCTACTCTTGTTTGATTAAGAAAACCGCTATTGATTTTGATTTGATGGTAAACTTTCTTTTTTGCACATGCTACACATAAAAAATGTCTATAATTTTATTGTCTGCCTTCAGTAAATAGCAGAACCTTCAGATGCTCATGTCCTTGGAGACCAGTACTTAACTTACTGGAATACCGTCTACTTGTGACACAAAACCAATTTCCATTTGCAAAAAATCATAAGAGACTGATATTTCAATATTTGTATATGTTACAATTTTCAAATTGTAACCACAAATTCTCCTTCACACAGTAACTTCAGATGTTACTATTTATAATTATGAAATTGTTATAGCATTATTCATAGACAAATATTAACTAAGTCAGATAGACAAATCACTTGATATTTACATTATAAAGACAAACCAGGAAATGTATCCGGTCAAGCAACATGTTCTCCTATTTGATTCTTTATGACAGAGACCATATTTTCATCAGATTCTGATAAATAAATCATGTGTTATTTCAAATGACAAATAAAATTTGAGGGACAGGAACATTGGTCTGAAGGTGAAGGTCATTTGAAAGCCAGACAGTAATAATGACTAGAAGGTGAAGGTCACATAGCAGCAGGACATCAATTCTTATGAGAATGCGATGGTCACAAAAAATAAAGCTTGAAGTTTTCCAAGTAACGTACAATCTGATTTGTACTTAGATGTATGTTTTAACTACATCCATGACTGTGTATGCTGATATTTACAATCTGATCTGTTGGTCAAATCTGTACGTGACTTACAATCTGAACTTTTAATTTGCCTTTGTGACTTTGATATAAATGCCCCCTGCCATGTGAAATTAGTTTCAGTGTTCTATAAAAAGTTACAACACACACAAGGTACTAAACTTAAAGTTGATTTTAATATATTCATATGTTTTTTCTGTATGTTATTACCATCTCCATAACATATTGAATGAAGTTGCTAAGTGATTAAATTGAATCAGTAGCTGATTTTCTATATATAGCAACAGTGACCTTGGCCTTGACCTTGGAACCCTGAAACACTACAATGTCCGAAGTATACTCATACTTGACCTTTGCATAAAGTTTAACCAAAATCCATGAAAGAATGAAGTTGCTAAGTGTTTTAATTGAATCAGTTGATGATTTTCTATATATAGCAAGTGTGACCTTGGCCTTGACCTCGGATCCCTGAAAGACAACGATGTCCAAAGTATACTCATACTTGACCTTTGTATAAAGTTTGACCAAAATCTGTCAGAGAATGAAGTTGCTAAGTGTTTTAATTGAATCAGTTGATGATTTTCTATATATAGCAACAGTGACCTTGGCCTTGACCTTGGAACCCTGTAACACTACAATGTCCGAAGTATACTCATACTTGACCTTTGCATAAAGTTTCACCAAAATCCATGAAAGAATGAAGTTGCTAAGTGTTTTAATTGAATCAGTTGATGATTTTCTATATATAGCAAGTGTGACCTTTGCCTTGACCTCGGATCCCTGACATACAACGATGTCCAAAGTATACTCATACTTGACCTTGGCATAAAGTTTAACCAAAATCCATGAAAGAATGAAGTTGCTAAGTGTTTACATTGCATGGGGTCGGGACAGGCTGGGATGGACATGGGAAACACTTTATTCCCCCCCCCCCCCCCCCCCGGGGGGCATAAAAATCATGTGACTTACATTCCAACCTGTAGGTCAAATCTGTGACTTTTAAATTTCATGTTATGCCCGTAAACAATATGACAATAGGTCAATGAAGTGATTTTATAATTATCAGAAGGCATTCAATTTGATCTGTTCGTAAATTTGATGACTTTTATTAGTTTCATTTGATGTACAATCGGACAGGTATGGTAGGTCAAATCTATGACTTTACAACTTTTATGTGACATTGCTGATACATGTACTGTCTAAGTTAATTGTAGCTTGTCCACTTGGTGACTATGAATTTCAGGCCGAAAACAGAGTTCCTTGTGTTTCCTCTATCACCCGCAGAAAGAATAGGGGTAGGTAGGTGAGGCAATTATTTTTTTGGAAAATATTTGACCATGATTATATTGAGCAGGGGTTCTGACTTAACAGTGCAAGCATTATATCACTAACTGCCAATAATAACATTAGGGAAAGGCACAAAAATCTAGGGTAGCTAAAGGTAGGATTAACCTCTACAATATGTAGGCCAAGTTTGTGATTACATATAACCATTATAATACAATCTGACAATTGAGTTTAAATATGAGTGTCTTGTATGCTATGTGACAACTGTTTGTAGTAAAAGTTCAATTACTTCATAGTATACTTATTATATATATGCAAGTGATTGTAATTGGATGACTTGTAATTCAAACCCATCTCTACGTCCAATGCAATCAGGCTGATGATGACCTATGGGTCGAATAAATGGTTTTCCAGCCAAGTCATTTGAACTTTAAGGTCAAGTGTAGTCCCATGCCATGTGACAATTACACATGTAATCAAGTTTCCAGGAAAGATCAATAAACGATTCAATATGGGATATTCCCTTGAGACAGAGAACTTTGCCAGGATTAACACTTGGCCTAGAAATATGCAACAAAGCCAAAAAACTATAAAACCCATTTTGAACTGCCTGCAGATAGAAAAATCTGAAACACTGAGAAAGCTTGTTAAATAACAGATATATAAAACCTGGCAAATTAATACAATATCAGATAAAAGATTTTATCCCAGCCATTTTCTGCTTATTCTACAGGAAATAACAGTTATCATGCTCTTTGTTTCATTTCCCTCAAAGTGAAGGGAATCCTGTGTATTGGACTTTATGGGTATAACAGGTTGTGCCTAATGAGATCATCTGGTAATACTCTAACACTCTACCAAGCATGTATCTCTTCCCCAGCCAAAAGCGCCGGCCACCACAACCCATTATCTCAAGGCTGACCAGAGACTCTGCACCATGTAATCTCATAATGTCAATAACATACACAGACTTCATGTATCTATCTGTGGTTTAACACGAGTACTGTGGTTTTTAAAGGCTAATAAAGAAACATGTGGCTATTTCTGCTATTTCGAGTTTTCCTAAATATCTACAATGTAAGTTCTGGAAATACTTACTCCTGTCAGTTGGAGAATTGAAAAGTGTCTAAACCACCCATGTAATATGATATCCAATAAGCTAGATTATTATCAGAATCAGGTATTTCATCCCTAATACAGCTGACCTAAATATCTCTAGAACTGCATTGTATCAAAGAAGTTTGGATGCTAAATTACAATGTTTATAATTAGCTCCCTGAGTACAGAATGTTACATCATTTCCCAGTCATTAAGTTTGTGTGCACTCATGTAGATAATAAAAAGAAAGCACTTCTTCTGATAAAATGTAAAACATTTCCTATTTTCATAGCCCTTGCGTAACAAAGTAATGAACATTACATCCCAAAATCTAAGCGTAAGATTGGATCGTGTTCAGATTGGATAACAACATCATGACAATTACAATCTGGCAAAACATTAATAAAATTTGTGAATTCCAGAGGTGTAGGTATAGTTTTAGATTGATAACTGTCCGACAGTGTGGGTGAAAAATCCACTAATACACATCAATTAGTTTAGGCATGTTGTTTAGTGATAACAAGACCGGTCAGGATGTTAACACTATTATACTTATTAATAAGTACGTAAGGAAGGAAATGCACTTCACACTGACTTATGCTCTCTGCTTTATTTTAATTTGATAAATTAGAAATTTAGCCAACAATTGTTATAATTGAACCCACATCTACCAGCTTACCTAGGTTCAAATTGAGTCAAATGCTTTAGACCCTACGGCGGTCCAGAAGGGAACAGATTAAACATTAACTTCTGTCAGCTAGCTTCCATTGAGAGTGACCAGAGGACATATTTAAAATCAGTTTGTCTTGATGTGAGATAAACACAAAAAGAATTCTGAAAATGATAGTAGACCTTAATTACCAGACTTCAACTACAGTATTTTGGGTGGTATCTCTCATACATTTGAAATCTCCATACAGTCAGCTGTCTCCCTATCTTGATTAATACCTTCTAAGTTATTGCCTTAAGGAAATAAATCTAGACACCAATCAAATATTTGGTTTACCATAAGATCAACAAATTTATCTTGCAAATTCAATTAATTCTTTGAAATAAAACTTCCTTTACTTTTACTTCAAACGGAAATTAAAACAGCACCAAGATTACAGGCAAAACGCAAAGCCCTAATATCATCCACAGTATCTTTAATTTGTAAAACATGGTGTATGTGTTGTTCTTGTAACTGAATTTAATTATCATGTTATAAGGCTACATTGGAGCTGGAAATGGATATCATTTCTCCTTTTTTCCCTGTGTCTCATTTTGATAAATTGGATTGGGAAAACAAAAGGATTGGACATCTACCAATGCTTAAATAAGTCCTTTAATTTTTTTTCTTGCAAATTAATACTGAAACTCAATAACAGAAGTTTTCTATGGCTATTGGCTACTATTATAATGTTATCTGGAATGTTAGTAGCTCAAATCAAACAAAAATTGCCTGGTTTGTATGAATACATATAAAAATCGTATTTGACTATGGACTATCACAAAGCTGTACCTGATGCTACATCACAACAATTTAACATAAAAAACTTTACCTATTTCACAACAATTATGAAACAAGTTATTTCAACTAATATTATTCACTCTTGTTGGCCCACGTGTTAGTGTACTTAATGTTGGAGGAAACTGGAGTACCCGGAGAAAACTCATGAGGTCGGGCAGTCGACCCCCATACCATTTCACATCGGATTGGAAAATTTACCCTGGCTGCCTTGGTGAAAAGCAAGTGCACTATCCACTGCACCACTCGACCACCCTTAGACGACAATTTGAATATAGACATAGTACAAGAGGCACATGGGTCTGAGCAGTAATCCAAGTGAAAACTTCTCTTTGAGTATATGTTCTGTTTCTCATCATCTAAGGATCACTTTATGGAATATTGGTGAAAATCCACCTATGAATTTCATAGGTTCAAAGGTTTTGCACTCTATGGTCCCTTATGGCCCTGTCACTGACAGCACCTAGGTTACCACCTCTTTTTTCAGTATAGATTCTGATCTTATCATTTCATGAATAAAGAAAAAAAAAAAAAAAAAAAAAAAAAAATTTTTAAAAATNGAATTTTTTATCAAAGTTCAATATTTACACATGTGCAGTAACTTGTGTGAAGCAAAATTTTGACAGGTAAACTTATTATACTTTCCAAGCATTTTTTGTCCTTACCAATCAAAACACAAAGAATGTGAATAGGAATGATCATTTGTTAGCAAACAATGTTTAAGGCACATTTAGGAAATGTCATTACAGAAAGCTATAACCTCATCTCTGACTTTTTTCAATGGAACCGTTTAGACGAATATAAAAAAGAATGTCATGTGAAATACATCACAAGTTGCTTTCACTTGGAAACACCATTTCTTTTTATCATCCGAGAGGACAACAATTACCTTTGATTTATATGGATGTCTGAAGTCCTTTGAGATTTTTAGGGAAAAAAACTATACAAAGATGAGTCCTTTCATCTTAATCTGTCGCAATCAAAGTACATCGATCATTACTCAGTGGTCAGGAGCTAACTATGGCTTCAGATCTATACTTATTTCTGTTAAATAATGGAACACCGTTCGGAAAGTCAGGACGCAGAAAATCTCAAATAACATCATTGTTCAGAAGACACAAAATGATATCTACCACCATGGCTAAAGTAGGAGAATCCCACTAGTTGCTCTGGCTTCAGTTGTTAAGGTTTATTGGATAAGAGGAGAAGCTCACCTAATGCAGCCTTCATAGGAACCACAGGCCCACATGTATGGTAGTGCTGTGCCATCCAAATCACTCCCAGGATCTGCCACGCAAGCTCCACCAGTAGGATTGCTATAGTAAAGTAGTGTAATAAAGATATGTCAGAAATCCGGAGACGCTTTGTTATGAGCATTATAATGACCAAACATGGTATCTTCTACCTGGGGAATAACCCAAATATGTTATCATGGTAATAAAACATTCATCACACAGATAATGTGTTCAGGTCAATTATAAATACCAGATCCTATTTCATAGATTTCACATCACAACACCACTGGTTCATAGTTTTATACCTTTATCGTGAAAAAAGGTATCGATTTATCACCATTTGATTATTGTATGGTCTAATTGGCTAGTTCTGGCAGAAAAAAACACTAAAAAATGTCTGTAAGATAAAAATCCCCCCCGCTGCCATGTGGAATTAGTTTCAGTGTTCTATAAAAAGTTACAACCACTTTGATCTCGATACCCTAAAACATGCAGACACACAAGGTACTACACTTAAAGTTGATAAATTGATTTTAATATTCATTTGTTTTTTCTGAATGGGTTATTACCATCTCCATAACATACTGAATGAAGTTGCTAAGTGTATAAACTGAATCAGTTGATGATTTTCTATATATAGCAACAGTGACCTTGGCCTTCACTTTGGAATTCTGAAACACAACAATGTCCAAAATATACTCATACTTGACCTTTGCATAAAGTTTGACCAAAATCTATGAAAGAATGAAGTTGCTAAGTGTTTTAATTGAATCAGTTGATGATTTTCTATATATATAGCAAGTGACCTTGGCCTTGACTTTGGAACACTGAAACACAAGGATGTCAGAGGTATACCCATATTTGACCTTTGTATAAAGTTTGACCAAAATCTGTGAAAGAATGAAGTTGCTAAGTGTTTAAATTAAATCAGTTGATGATTTTCTATATATAGCAAGTATGACCTTGGCCTTGACCTTGGATCCCTGAAACACATTGATGTCTGAAGTATACTCATACTTGACCTTTGTATAAAGTTTGACCAAAATCTGTCAAAGAATGAAGTGTTTACATTGAATCGGGATGGGATAGACATGGGCAACACTATATGCCCCCCCCCATTTTATTGAGGGTTGTACCTTTGTATAAAGTTTGACCAAAATCTGTCTAAGAATGGAGTTGCTAAGTGTTTACATTGAATCGGGACGCGACGACGCGACTGGACAGGTGTTTACATTGAATCGGGACCAGACAGACATGGGCAACACTATATGCCCCCCATTTTATGGCGGGGGCATAAAAATCACACTGTATTGAATCTAAAATTAGACACATTTGAAAATTCTATATTACATAGATATAATACCAATTGAAACAACAATCTCCAATTCCATACCCTTTAACTAAAATGGACAGGATAATTGTTTTTTTCTTTAAAGAATTTGAAAAAGAAAGAGTAATTTTATATTTGTAAATCAAGGAAGGAAAATCATATAACGTGTAGGCATCATTTGCTTCATCTGCTATCCTTTGTATTGTAACTTAGTGAAGGAATATCTGATATTTGGGAATTATATAGTATTCTGTAAAACCTATCAGAAGCTGATCACATTATGCAGAACTGACAAAATATGTTCACATGAAATAGGCCCAGGGCTATAAATCAATATCAAATAAGTTATTAGTTATCAGAGTCTTCAAACTGTTAAATTGATATGCAATGGAAGATAAATATCGCTTCCTCTTGACATTGAGAAGATTTTAATTCTCCTGGCAGTGGTGCACTAACATTACTGCAATGAGTTTATAGGGATTACTGTCTACCGCGCTGTTCTATGATGCACTCCAGATATGATTCCATATTCTTGGTTGTCTCAGATGCTTCAAATTTGGACTTATTTGTTAGTTGCAATTGTTCAATGAAATGCATGTCATTTTCTATTTTGGTAAAAAAAAAAAAAAAACCTGTAACAAAATTCATCATCACATGATTGTCCAAAATTTGATATGCATTCTTTGATGCAAACAATAAGTGAAATTATAGTGAATTCTAACATGATGCAAGAAATATCTGGTATCCTGGGATTTATACCTCAACACCCACTATATTCTCTAAGTAAAATTATCATTGACCTGTCACACAAAATATTAAATACACTGCATCTGTTGTTTTGAAATTTAACTTGTATTGCTTACAGTAAGCATTGTACTGGAGCTGTAACATAATGCTGGAAATGTCTGGAATTTTTCATAATTATACTGCCAAGCTTATATCTCAAAGCCCACACCAAATACAATTATACGGAACTGTTACAAGATGCATGAAACGTCTGGTATTTTGGGATTTTAACATGTTGGAATGATTGCAAATATATCTCATTCCACAACAAAAAAAATCAATTACTTTTCTCACTAATGTCTGGTTCCACTGACATTTAATATACAGAAAAGGGTCAGTATCCTTGAGACTTCTTTTAATATAGAATACATCAATTTATAAAACGTCTAGATTCTAGACAAATATTTTGTATGTAAGGGGTTTGAGAAGAGTTCTGTGTGGCATTAACAGCATGCATGTCTTTGGACAAACATGTTGAGCACACATAAATCTAAGTTATAGCACATATACAACCCTTTCTCTAGGTAACAGAATGTTTTTACGCCACAAATCCTATAAAATGAATATTGACGAGACTGCTAAAGTTTTAAAATCCTGTTTTTTACAGTAAACAGCAGACTGTGTATCATTAAACAACTTACCAAGTCTGAAGTACAGGAGATATTGCATGCACAGCCTGGGTGATGGGTTGAGGATGGTGCCTCTCATGCTCACACCGAATATCATACCCTCCACCAAAATGTTGCCTGCAAGCATGCTTAGGTAGCCGATAAGGTAGTACTTCAGGTTCACAAGGCCCACACTGCATTCTTTGTGTAGATCGAAGTCATAGTTCCCGGTTACAACACCCAAGATCACTGTCCTGCAAATAAGCAAAAGATTTTCTGTCAAGCTTTGAAGTTGGAATCATCAAGAAATTTTTCAATGCAACTTTTATTTGTGAAGAACAATTGTATTTGAGATTATATGACCAGATCTAAAGTGATAATTTCAGAAATAACTGCATTATGTCCCAATGTGACAAGTTATTATTGTTAATTCCAATACAGTATCAAGTAATTTTGTATTGCCACATGGCAATGCGAGGTATTTTGATCAGCAAAGTGATATTTGGGGTCATTATGATGTTCATTCACATTACTTACATAATTTACCTCCAAATATTAATAAAGGTTGCAAATAATATGTAAGTTCTGAAATATTTCCTGTTGTGTAAGGTTGCTGAAAAAGTTGTTTTGCATCATGGTCAGTTATCACATTGGCCATGTACCTGAATGCAACTTCAATGTCATTGATACATTGGTCTTCAAAGTAATTGGTGAGATCAAACACAATTTTGCTTGAATTAATTAGCTACATGGATGGCATCAACATATCACACACTGACTTACACTATATCTTGAGCCCTACCCACACTCATACTAGATGTAGTAGTAAATCCTGATGGTATGGTACATATGATTCTGTTTTCATTGTGGTCTACTCAATTCCAACACATTAGTGGGGAAATATCACTATGACCATTAACTTAATTTGTTAGATTCATAAATTAATTCTACTCAGAATACATTTTGTGATATTAATTCTAAGTAACATATAAGCAATTGGATGCACTTAGTGAGAAAGGTAGAGGCATGTATGTATTCAGATGAATAATGAACCTCTTCGTTAGTAGGAAGAGTCACATGTAGGAAATGTTAGATTTATTAACATGTATATAGCATGTGTTTGCAATTACTGGTAATAGTAAGGTCAAGTAGGTATAGGACCAGTCTTCACTGAACATAGCATGCACCAGTCTCAAAACATCTCTAACCTTAGAAAGTTGATCCAAAGCAGACGCTAATATTTACATCAATATCATTTCGAGGTCTATGGAAATTTTTTTTACTTCAATTTTATGTGAACTCCCTCCATTGTGCAACTACTCATTGGTACATCTATAAATAATTGTCTGCTGAAAAAAATCTATGTTCTTAATTACTTTTCTTCCCAAGAACATTCTTCGTTGTGTGTGACGGTATTGTGTTGTTGTACAGTACATGAAGAACGCTGTCCTACTTGTACAGGAAATGTTTAAGCCTAGCTTAGAACTGTCAGTCCAATTAATTATACTGTAATACATGTTTGAGCACAGACAAAGTACATAAGGGAAAATAGCAACATCTGGCATGTATACTATAAACTTGGTGACTTACTATACGATGAGACTATTGTGACAATAACAGCAATGGGACTGGCACAAATATGTTTGATTGTTGTCAGTTATAATAGTATACCTAACAACAAGTTTGGCTGATTACCTACACATGTTTATATCAATGCCTTGGCTTTATTTCATCTTTGACATGCAACCTTGCACCAATTGTGAGGATTTTGTGGCATCATCATAATAGCATCAAAGTGTAACTTTTTTTTACCTACATTTTGTAAATATAACCAATATTATATAGCTAGGATATCTATAGCAGTTTGATGATTTTACATGGAAAAGTACAGAATAATCCAGAAAACCAGAAACCAGTACTCAGGCACTCAAAATGGGAATCACTGGTTATAAGATTAAGTGACATAGCTCTGGTGTGCATCGTACACAGCTGTCTTTCCTAGTTGTACCATTACATACTAGGTTTACTGATATCAAATGAGAATATTACAATCCATTCAGAAATACAGGTACTAGGAGTCACAAGCATAGGTTCTAACGACCTAGATTCAGTTGTGACGTCTTGGCTGGATCTAATGGCAACCACATACCAAGTAAGATGATCCAGCATGAAACAGCATATAATTAGAAAAGCTTTAAAAATGTTTTACTTGACTGAGGTCAGATGTCAAAATATAGGTCTAGTGACCTAGCTTTAGTAGAGACAAGAAAAATCTCATGTCCAACTGCCCGAACAGTAGATTTGGTTTTATGAATAAGTGAAAATTTGTGTATATATAATCTCCTTAAAATGGCCAAGAGGAAACTGATCTATTGAATACTACTATATGCACATCAATATATATATATAAATCTTAATAAAATAACTTTTGTCTGTGAAGTAGAAATACTGTATAGTAAAGACTTGTTGGAGCTATTTGTTAGGAATGGAAAGAAATATTATTCTAATTGTTTTGTTGTAAGTTAACAAAACCATTCAGAAAACTGCTCACCTCTAATAGGTTTTTTGATGTTATGAAAACTCAGACAAAATGTCTGTCTTTAATGTTCCTTTTAAAAGCAAAAAAAAATAGGATAGCATATCACAATTTTTTTAAACATGACACTTAATTGCATCAACAAGAGTAACATTGATATGGAACATAACACTATGTCAATGCACCATGCCAATTCTAACATCCTTTTAAAACTCATTGTACATTTCTAACAAAGGGATAAATTAATTTGAATCTTTCTGATGCATTCATAACAAAATGTATGAAAATCTTTAAACAAGAAAAACTCTAAATTTGTAATGAAGTACTCGGTAGTTTAATTATTTCTGGGATGTGACAAAAAGGAAAAACAAATTTGTAGAGCACTTATCAGTAATTTTACCAGCTAATAATAATATAATTTACAACATTTGATATAGCGCCCTATCTAGCTAACATAAGCCATTCTAAAGTGCTTTACAGTACATAGATATACAATTAATACAATTAGTATATACATTAATCAATACATTTTTGGAGGAATTCGCTGGAGCTGCCTTATCTGGCGCTAACTACTGCCTATGTGTGAATGCCTGCGTGTGTGCTGGAGATGTATTGTGTTCTGTTTGTAGTGGGACCGTGCTTCCAGTTCCAACGGTATCATTTATAGTGCCACCCCAGACCAATTTATACTCCACCTGGGTTGTTGGAGTTGTGTGAGCAGGAGAAAAACACTTTCTCTGAATATCCATGCTACGACGACTTCAGGGATCGAACCCCAGTTGCCTGCATGGAAGGCCAGAGTGTTAACCACTCGACAATCCGCCCAGCTGAAGGAATATATATTAAAAACACAATTTGTAAAATAGTATTCAGTAAAGTTTAATTATTTCTGGGTTATATGGAAAGGAAAAACATATTGTACATAACTTCACCAGCTAAAGGCATTTTTATTGGATAAAGTCATATTTCCTCTAGACGTTCCTGAGTGGTCTTCAATTAAGACTGTTTCGCTTAAAGTTGTTATTGAGCTTCAATATTGTCTTTGTATAGTAGTACAAAATACAAGCCTATATAATGACCAAATTTTATTAGGATCTGGTCATAAGTGGTTTGGTTTAGTTATTGTCAAAGACTGATCAGTAATTCATCTTGAAGAAAACAGATTATGGACAGTTAACAGATGGATGCTCCCCATAATGCAACCTGTTTAAACCAAAATCCTGTAGACAAAAGATTTTCTAAAATCAATTACTTGCATGGAGCCTGTTATCAGTTCTATACTTAAATAATATTCCGTTTGTTGAACTGTGTCAATAGTATTTATTTGCCAATATGAACTCATAAACTTATTTCTGTCTACTGTGACATCATAAAACGATAATGAAATGAGTCAGATTTCCATCGTAATTTATGACATCACAATGAAGACAATATAAACAGCCAACTTAAAGGAATTGTACTTAAAAAATGTCATTTTCATTTTAGCTAGTTCAAATGAAAGCTAGAATGTGTCTGTAAGACATGAATGCAAGTTAGTGTCACATTTTGACAATTTGCTATAAATAGTGACATTAATAATACAAATTCAAATAAGTATCTCATACTTAACCTTTGTATTAAATTTGTTGAAATTTGTTAACAAATTACACTAGGGCAATATTCCCAATGGGAAAAGACTTGTTTCATAAATCTCAAAAATGGTTGGACTCTCCATGAGGGGGGATTCTTTATTTTACATATATGTGAAGAGGCAAGTAGGGTTGAAATATGAATTATAATGACTGTGGTAATGTATTTTGATACAGAAATACAAAAAAGAAACTCATTTAAGATCCTACTTGCATAAACTGTATACATAACATGTATCAATGACATTATTTCTAAAGCTTGTGCATAGATACTGCTGGGAAACTGCACTGGTACTTGTACATGCCAGTATAGAACAACGTTTCATGAATTATTCATGTATACATGTTTAGCTCTCAGACATGACATGGATGATGGTCCTTAAAACAATCTTACAAGCTTAGGTTTCTGAAACCAATCCTCTGTTTATACATCCATCAGATCCAAAGCTTTAAGTGCTTTTCTATATTTCATCAAAATGAAATTTACAAATTACAGGAAAAACTAAGTCTGACTTATCTATCTGAAAATATGACTATCATACATGTATGTGTGATGTATTGATAAAACAGGAATTTTCTCTACGGTTCATCAGTCATGCAAGGCTCGGGGACAATTCTATGTAGACAATTAAATTTTTACACCACGCCTAGCATCAGTAAAAATTCAGGACTATAGCCAACCATAATAGCAATTAGGTTAGTATGTCACTATGTAAAATCCAAGGTAGCCTTTGGTGTCAAAGTATTTATCCAAAATTGTTTGAAATCTTTCAGTAACATCTCTACAATTCAATTTTCATCACAATTATTCCTTTCATTCTTAAACTCATGACATTTTAAAGATTAAAAAGTTACAGCTTGAAAAGGCTAGAGGAATGATTTGGGACAGTTGAAACATAAACATCAAGTAAGTCTCACTGAAATGTTGTTAGAAAATATATTATAATCATGTTTAGAACATCGCCACAATGAGCCAACCTCCAAAAATGGAAAAATCATCACTTCATTTCTAGGGCTGTAATGATACACTGCTGTGCACCGAAAACCGTGCTAAATTGCTTCGGTTCGGTGTACGATAATGTTTTTTCCG